AAGAAAAGAAAAGAAAAGAAAAGAAAAGAAAAGAAAAGAAAAGAAAAAAGAAGTGAAAACAGGAGCTTTCTCACAGTTCATCACTGAGATGAAAACCACAGACTCTTTGGAAACTCTTGCTGATAATATTTATTTCTGCAAAACTAACAAAGATTAACTATTTATTCTGCTCATTCCTGTTACCTTTCTGTTTGTGGCAACAGCTACAGATATGATCAATACCTACTACATTGAAAATACCCTGTAGCAGTACAGTACAAAGATCAAAGGACTCACTTTGCTCCAGTTGATAAGACATCCTGGCATTTCATACATATAATTAAGTTGTACCAGATTTTTACTGAAGCACTACCTACATTAAAACTGTCCAGTAAAATAGAACTGTGTCAACTACTTAATTGATTTTTGATACTAAAAACCTATTGAAAAGAATATTAGTATTCTAAGCCAAGCCTTTAAAAGCTAGGAATTCCATCAGTGATGCTTAACTAATATGAATAGATCTGACCAGCTGAATGGTAGCCACCTCTTTTTAATAAGTGAAATTCCAACAATCAACACTGAAATATTCCAAAAGGATCAGAAATTAGGTTAGAGATAAAATATATTTGAGAAAGAATATAAAGCTCAAACACCATTTAAGTTTTTCACTTCAATATTTTGAACTGCCTTTGCTTTAATTTGACTTTATATGTTACAATAATATATAAGTATACATACATAAGCATGTAAATATACACAACAACAACAACAACAAAAGAATGGAAGAGAAGGGAAAAGAAGGGAAGAAAGAAGAAGTCCTGACTGATCCAAACCAATATTCTTTGTGGAGATTTAATTCCAGAGCCAATGCCAGCAGTACCCCACTCTTTAAAACCATGCAAAACAAAATTTCTTTCCACAGTTCAAGAATGTACATTATTTTCACCATTCTGGTGCTATACTCAACGAATAAGTTATATCTCCATGTCTAACAGGATACCTACCCCCGTATTGGTTACGTTACAGTATTTGGTAATTTTGTATTTCCTTTTTCATAGTATTCTCCCAGTATTATAAAAATATTTTGAAACCCTTATTATGAAACCCTTCATAGCATCATCCATTCATGTGATTTTATAACTAAGGAACCAAAAAACAGAATCTTAAGGCTCATTTTGTAAAACTAATCTGATAGCATATTTTTTCCAGAGTGCTTAGGTACTGGAGTATGCATTGAAAGTTTGGCTTAATTATGCTTATAAGAGCACTGAACTGGCTTAGGTAATAATAATCATGATCCACCAAGAAAGTTCCAGTTTTGATGACCGGTCTTGAAACATATAGTGGCCATGGCAAAGAAATAAATAGAATTTTCTTTTAGAGACAGGGCACAAAGAAGTTAAACCTTTTTTCTTGTGGATTCTTACCATTCAACTACGTACTTTCCAACCTTTGGAACCTACAAGAATATATCTCCATATATAAAACTAACACGCTCTCACAACACCATCCATCTTGCACATCACAGAAGGAGCTCTGTGGAAAAGTACAGCAGGTGACCATGTCATCAAGCGCTACGTTATAATGCATTAGAAGATCAAATCAGCGTGGCACAACCAAGACTGCTTTTAACAGTTCCTAATTGAGTGCTTTGCATTGCAGTTCAACAAACTTTATGCACAGAAACATCAGCCACTAAACTGTTTTTAAATCCTATTGGAAAAAAAAAAAAGAAGAAGAAGAAAAAAGTGCCAACAGAAGCAATGTTATACTACGTGAAGGCAGTGGTAGTGACGATGGCAGCAGCAGTTGTTGCTGCAGGCTCTGTGCCAGACCTTGAACACAGAGGAAGAAGCATGTCAAGCCCCTTCTCCTGTCACATGAGAGCACAGCAACAACTCCCCTGTCTGTTACTCATGCACAGTTCATATTTTCTGTTTTCCTGGAGGATCAGCAGCTGGCTGGATATTTTTCTAGTCTTAAGTAGCTTGCAAACTCTGTGTGCCATATCTACAACACCACCATCTAAAACCACATTAACCTTTAATAGGGTAATTTTTGGAAGCCGTTGAACCCACATCAAGCTTGATTTAAATGTGTGGAGCAGCTGGCAGCATGCTAAGACTGCTGTTGTTTCCTTAGACTAAAACCAAGAGTTTTGCAGTAGACTAGAAGCTGAGAGGGGAGTAATTCTGACAGTCTGAGCTGACCTGAGGTTTTGGAGGATTTCTGCCTGAAGTAATTTTGCTCCTCAAACACAGTCTTAGCCTCAGTCCAGACTGAAAACCATTTTCCCCAAGGTGTGCTCAGATTTCTCTGTATTTCCCCAGTGTGCCAGACGAAATGCAGTATGTGGTATAATTCCTAGCCATAAAGGCAGAATCCCGCTGTCTAACAAAGCTGGGGTACCATACCATGAATAGGTTTTCTGGCATCCAGGAGATTTTGCTAAAATAGTCTGTTTATGGACCCTCGTGCTGAAAATCTTTTAATAGCTTGGCTCCACCTTTTCTTCCACTTCTGCCAGATCTTACTGTGACATATTCCCCCTGCTACCCCATCACTTCTAGACCATTTTCCAACTTGTGTATTTTGTGAACTGATACACGACTTTGTTCTGGGGAGAACAGAATCTGATTTGGATAGCCCCATAGACAAAGAGGAAAGAAAAGCGCATCCTTCAGATTTGGTATTAGATACATTTGTTATTCAACCAGAAGCACTGATTGCAACAGTAGTCTCTTGGTATTTCAAGTTGTCAACCAACACATACACAGGTGTGTTTTGTCAGTCACAAAGAGGCTTCAAGTAGCTGGACCACATTAAGATGGTATCTTCAGAAATTTTTGCTTTCTGTATTTTGCGGCAGTTCTGAATTTTTCAAAACTTGGCTAACTGGGGCTAATTCTTTGTAAGAATGGGAAAGAGCCCAACCCTGAGCAAGGAACATCTACAGCCAATGTTTTAGATAGAACATTTATAAAATTTCGTTTCAGTCTTGTGAAGAATGTCCTTGTTTTTCTGGAAACTGGCAACTAGATGAATCATTCACATGTATCAGATACAATAGATTGGGAGACCTTCACCCACATGGTGAACAATAAGAAAGTAAATGGTACACTGCATATTAACCAATCAATAACTGTAACAGGATCGTTGAACTCAAACAGCTACTTGGAAAGCTATGGTCATTGTTTCTTTAATTCTTGAATACTGCTTAGTTTAGAACTGACAGTCCTGAAAAGGTATTCTTATAACATATACCTATGTTTTCAATGGTAAATTCATAATTATTTTTATGTGTACTATAATCAAGTTTCTCTTTCCTCTCTCCTGTGCCTTTAATTCTCTTTTTTTACTTGACTATTTTAACATCTCCACTTTTGAAACACTTTAATTTGATATCATAATATCAACAAAATCACTCCCCCCCACTCCTTTTTTTTTTTTTTTTTTTCCCCTCACTCAGCTTCAGGTTATGGTCAGTATAGGACTATGATCACTTTTAAAAAAAAATTCCTATTAGGCTTTAGACTGCCACAATTATTCAAAGATCCCCTTTACATACTTGTAATATGAAAAAAAAAAAAAAAAAAAAAAAAAAAAAGAAAAATACTGCTCTGATAATAGCAGTCCAAAGCAAGTCTTTTATAGCACAGTTCATTTTCCATTGCTCCAAATGTCAGTGCTCCGTAATTTAATTTCGTCATAAGTACTTCACTGTGCAAACCCTTACATTTATAACTTTGTCCTTAGTACCTCAGTACAGAACACAATAATTCTGTCACCTGTAGTTCTTACATTGTCTCCTGTTTCATTTACCTATAAACTGTTCTTTATATATAAAGTTACTCGTTCCCCTTTCATTCTCTGTTTCTCCCTCGTAAACAATTAGCTTTCAGTATCCAGTTACCTTGTGGCAGGAGAGGAAAAGTCAGGGTAAGTCAAGCCTTAAACACATAAAACAAATAGGGCAGATAAACATGAAAAGGTATTTTAGATCAGCTGATATGAGTGCAGAAAGAACAAAAATAGCTTCAACACCCTTGTGTTAACCCCAGCAAGACAACAGAGTGCCGTTAACATAAACATGCATTTATATTACAGCTGGAAAGAAAAAGCACAGAACAGTTCAGAGCAAGATTTTAGCATATTTCCGTACCATTTCTGCAATGGCTGCTGTACTAACCTTGGCTGGTCAGAATACCCCAGCTAGATTTTCGTTTTGCAGGACACTCCCCTATACTTTCTAGGCGTCTTTTGGGGAGATTCTGGCTCCTCTGAACAGCAGTGTTTGTTGTCATTATTTGTTTCTCGAGGAAAGCCTGTCTATCATTGGTGCAGGTGCTCTGGTCTGACGAACAGTCACAGATGGATTTCTACTACCTTTTTTTCTCCTTGCAGTTTTTCACAAAGGCTCTTCTTGTACTTACTGTAGAATGGCTACAACACTGAAATCCATTCAGTAACATTTACTAGCTTGGACTAGTGAGAACATAGTGGGGGAAGGGAAGGATTGCTCTAGCATTTTCTATTTTTAAAGCAGAGAAAGAATCAGCTTAGCTACAGCATGAGTCTTAACTATTTACACAATTTAAATGGAAAGAATGTGCTATTTTTTCAATAATTAAATCAAAAAAAAGGAACAGATTCTTAAATCATAAGTATTAAAGCATAAATTTTGTGGCATGAGTAACAAGCAACCTAAAACAGGAAAATAAATGTGTTTTCATCAGACTGGCAATTTTCATAATAAAAGATAAAAACATTAATTCTTACTGCATATATAACTTTCAGTTAAGAGAGAGATTATGGAATCCAGAAGAATCCATGAAATCATGAAACACTTCTGGTGTTTTTGTTTTGTTTTGTTTTTCTTAAACAGAGGAGATGGTATCCTATGGATATCATCTAGAAACTACGTCATGAATAATAATAAAAATAACTTGGCTTGACTGCTTCGCTGGTTAATTTGAAAGTCTGATCCCATTACAAAAGTCAGGCTGCAGACTTATTATATGAAGCCTAAGTCAGTAGCAAGTGCAATTATCTGCTAGTAGAATTTTCTGTTTGTTTTTATGTATCATTTGGGTACTGAATGACAAAACCATGAAAATCTGCATAGAGAAGCAAAGCGCAAAAAAATTCCTGCAGGGATAAAAAGAACAGTGATTTCTTTGTTAACATGCTGCCTTTACCCCCTGCCTTCTTTCCGTATAGTATTTCTTAACTATCCTCTTTTACTGATATAAAAATTAGCCATCTGTAACATTTTTAAAGGAAATTCATATTACTGGGTTTTATTAATACTATTCTTCATTTATTCTTAATAATTAACTGGAATAATACATATTTATTTCATGGAATCTTTTTAGATTTCCCCATATCTCTTTAAGAGAAAATCAGAGGCAAGTTTATAGTTAGGGGTGTTAAGAGAATGAAGGAAGAGCAACCACAGCTTTTCACCTTGAAATTACAGGAGATGGGAACTGCCCTACTGGAACTGTCTGCTTATAGAACAAAAGTAGGTGGGCTACCTCTGTTCTAACAGGAGAGAAGGAAACTGCACTCTCCCAGAGGTTTTCTTCAGATTTTATCGATCTGAATCAGCCACATCAGCCATAACTCACACGTACAGCACTTCTATATGTCAAGCAATCAGACTCTGCAAGTAAAAGCTGGAAGAGAGATTTTGCAAAAGGCCATGCACATCATAAGCATAAGTTTAATACTGGGATTACTTGTGAACTCATAGCATCTTCATCAAGAAAACAAATACATGAAAGATACGATCAATCAACAGAAAACCTTATTAAGCACATGTGTGCACATGACTGTGTCAGGAAACTATCAGCACTATTTTCCAGGTATGAAATAACTGATGACAATTTCTCTGCTTGCCAGGGTGTGGGGGCTCAACTCAAGTTTTACTTTTCCTTTCTACTTGGAATGGAATCCCAGGACTTTCAGAAGAAGGTGGTGAGGATTAAGATCAAGCAAAGCATCTTGGTCTGCAGGGCGGGTATTGACAGGGGTCTGAGAAGACCTGCATGTTTTTGTAGGACTTCTGTGGGTGAGGCTGTCAGCTGAGAATGAAGCTGGGTCCGTCCAGTGGAGTGGCACCAACAACATAAAAGTAGTTCATGCTACTGCTTCCCACAGACTCCAGCCCCCACATTATTATTATTCTCACCATCCACACAGGTGTGACCATGCAGCAGCAAGGAAGACAGCAGATACAATGACAACTGCCCTGGCTTGGGAGAGGAAGACTCCCAGGAGAGTCACAACACCTGCTTTTCTGCTTCCAAAAGCAGCAATCAGAAATCAATGAAGGTAGACTACAGCAAAAATGTGACACCTCCTAGGCAAGAGTACTGGGAAAAGTATCTCTAGTCCACAGATGCTCATTAACTTATTTTGAATACTCGGGAGGACATCAAAACACAATGTTTAAAAATGTTTATTTCTTTATGCTTTAAAGCAGGCAAAGCTTCTCCCATTCAGGACTCTAGACTCAGCTTTGCATTTAATTCTGCTAGATACAACTCTTCATATTCTAGACAGAAATCTTGCATTTAAAGGAACTTTTCTTTCTCTTCCACTGAGATGTCTCTCTCACATAGGTTAGACTTAGAATTCACCATTCAAATCAATCAAGCACATAAAAATGGTCCCCAGTCCACAATGCTGAGCCATTAATCTTTTTCTCTTTAAAGTGAGAGCTAGACTATCACCATAAATTAACTAAAAATGTATTAAAATATAACTGAGATGCTAATGGACATACAGTTAAAAAGGTGTAGTAAGAGTGAAGAATTCATTATTTCATTTCCATCTATGACATTGAATTGCCATCTGGTCTTGCTCAAGTGTAACATGAACTTCAAAATAAAAAACAGTACTTCTCTATCTCATTAGGTAATAACAGTTTTAGCATTTGAAACTACTCAGTCTTGGTACTCAGATTCCGTTCTTCAGATTTACTTTCTTTAATAGAAGACAATCACTTCCAAAATCCCACAAAAAACCCATCACAGAAATCTAAGTAGATACTTAAGAGCATAGTAAATATGGTAGACCAATATTTTGCTGTCCTGGTTGCAAGCAATTACAGACAATATTCACACTATAGATATATATATATGTACTATAGACATATATTCAGATACCCTTGGAAGCACTGCAGATAATCAGCCTAAAACCAACCAACCAACCAAACAAACAAAAAAAACAACCAGCTGACAAGAGGACCTGGATTTTATCCAGATCTTTATTTAAAAACAAAACAACAACAAGTACAATTTCAGTATTTCTATGCCAGCAAATAGCTCCAAGTTTACTCTACAGGGGCAACTGTTCTAATAACTGGCAATGAAAATGAAAGACATTTTTATTCCTCTCTTTCCATGGGGAACCCGTTCTAATTTTGAGGCTGTTTTTCAGGCCACAGAGATGCAACTGCACTGACAGAAAGTCTTTAATGGAAATAACGACAAAAAGAAAAGAAAAAAAACAATCAAGATATGATGAAGCTCAATGCAATACAATCTGAACTCCAATAACACTAATTTATCTTAAGAAGAATAGAACAAAACTGCACTACTTTCAAACAGCCTAGATCAGTATTCTTTGTGTGTGTATGCAACCCTCAGCAAAGTAGCCAACTGATGTACCACCTAGCCTCCCAAACTGTTTTGTACTGAAGCTCTTTTTATTTGCATGTACTTGCATATCTGTGTCCAATTCAATAATATAAATAGCGGTCAAGTAGAAATGCAGGTATTACCCAGGCATCATCAGTCTTCTGCCCACCCCATATCTCGACAAATGCCCTCACACATACGTAGATAATATTTAAATGGTCATTAATTATTTAAGCAGGAAATGCTGTTTGTCTATGAGACTATTAAAAAAAAAAAAAAAATCTAACACCAAAAAGTCCTACTACAGACTCTTGTTCATTATACACATCTTCATATCTCTTAATTGGAAATTCAAGCTATTATTATTAAAATATCAACAGTGTATAGATAGCTCTTTGTTCTACCTCTTCTGCTGAAGTTGTTACCATTTGTTAGGCCTTACATGCCTGGATGCTAGGAAGCATAGCAGAAGGTTTAGAAAAGGATTACAATTGTGATGTCGTAAATGCTCCGTCATCATAGAATTTCAGCATGGAACACTGATCCATTTATTACATTTCTTGCCTTGTGGATTTCCTGTGCACCTGCCAGATCTCTTCATGCAGACAGGCAGTCATAGCTCAGAATATTTTCTAACATGGGTCAAGTTAAAGCAAATCAAAGTAACAGTGCTGATTAAGCTAGCCAAATCAGATACCAAACAAGGCTGGGCTTCAGATATTGACAGACGTGGCCAGAAGACCAACAGTCTACATGGGAATGGTACAAAGTACCACAGAGTTAATCTTCAGCCAAGTACAATGAGAGAACACAGCCATAAAGAAAGAGATCAGATCTATTGCCAGAAAGACTCCAGACATAGCAAAAAGTAACAACCACCAGTGCAACAGATGGAGCATGCCATAATGGATTTATGGCCAGCCAGGCAGCATTGCTGCAATCACAAATAAAGCTCAGCACTTAGGCACGTAATGCATTCCCCTAAAGCCATCATCATCAAACCCTGGCAGAAGTTCACTCGCTGTTTGCTTGCATTGCAAATGTTTGAGAACATCTCCTACAAGAGAAGAGTGTGAATAGCAGAACACTGGCTATAGCAAGTCTATTGGCAAGGGAAGGAACATCACCTTTAGGGAGCTATGCTAGTTTGATATTCCCCTGGTGCCTTATGCCACACAGCTGCATAAATGACCACTGCAAATGGTACATTTGGGTCTACCTCAATCCATTACTGGGGCTTCCTAATGACTTTTTATTTTTAATTAATTTTTTTTTTTTTTAACAGTTGTCTGTAAGGTAGGCTGCTCTATGCTTTCTTTACTCCATTGTTATCTTTAAGTCTTACTGTTATGCACTTTTAAGACTCAGGTTTCAAGCAAGCTACATCAATGTTCACAATATTTCGTTTGTGGTTTGAAAGCTTGTTAATCATTCCACTCTAAAAAATAGACTGATGAAGGGAATTTCCATGAGTTAAATCAGAGTACACAAATCAAGCATGCCAATAGGATTAGTGTTTGTGACAACTTAATGTCCAGCTTCAGAAAAGATACATATTAAGATGACACAGATGAATGACATTGATCATAATATAGAACCTGTAGTCCTCTCAAGGATGTTTCAGTGTACAGTAATAAAAAGGAATCTACACGATAGGGTAACTCAATTTCTGTCAGGAAAGCAAGCATGCACAGTCCCCAGCAGACATCTACACTGGCAGTTTCTGTAAGCCTCAGAGATTTTCTTTAAGGTGAAGGAAGAGTCAGTGCTCTCCAAGAGATGTGCTTGGTTTTTGCAGCTGCAGATAGGTCAGGACTCTGGCTTCACGAATTTCCATGCCAGTCTAAT